TACAGTACGTAAGTAGTTTACTTCGTTACTGAACATCTCTGTGATGGGTTGAGGTGGCCTAAATGATCTAATTAAGGAAACTGTCTACCCTCTGGCTACGACGAAGAACCGTTTCAAATTAAAACTGACTAAGTTTGAGTTCCTATGTGTGTATCACAAGGTTTAGTATGACTTGTTTTGGCTCTCAAATTATTCAAAATTGACCAAATTGTGAGTTTGAGCATGCTTAATTGTTTGCCTTGTATTTTGTGTTGAACTGGGCATGACTGGGGACAAAGACAGGGGGAGAGTAAAGAAAAAGAAACCATACAGTCAATCAGGATAATGACAGATTACATCACAATGAACTGGATTCTACTTTGTCTTGAATTTGTCTGTATCTCTGAAGCGTATTCAGTTGAGATTGTGATTTAGTGGTGTATACATTTTTTAAAAATGAATTATATATGTGTGTTGATCTATTTTCTGGTCTGATTCCGGAATATATTTTTCTACGTTACTTTAAATTGTCTCCTCCCCACCAGGGCATACACATCAGTTAATATTACTTAAATGGGAGTTTGACATGATGACATTTCAGTGAACAAAAAAGCCACAAGCATGAACACTTTCCAGTTAGCTGTCAAAAATGTCAAATGAATCAGGAAAATTGTTGAGGGGCAATATGTGGGTCTTTTGGAAGCTGTTTTTGCTTCATGTACAAAATCAGCACAGTGTTTGTTGTTAGTGTAAGCCAACACGAATCCGTTGTTATGGCCAACACAGTGTTATTTCTGCTGGTGGTTCTCTGGAGAAAACCTCCAGAGAGCGGAGCATGAATCAGCAATAAATCTCATTAAAATGTATTTTCTCAAACATAAGTACAACCGTGTGAACTTAGATCCCAGGAAAAGTCAACACCCCCAGGTGTACAGCAGAATTCCTCCAACTTTTCTACTCTCTAATGAAGCTCAGCTTCTTCTTGTCATCCCTACTGAAATTTTTCACAATGTTGCTGATTATGAACCAATAAGTCTGAACATCAAGCAGAAAACATTCGCACACACACAAAGAAAAGTAGCTAATTAGCTTGTATATCTTTCATGAAGATTTTCCCCCTACAAGGCTCTTAGTGCAGAGGACTTAAATTCAGCATGGAACAGAATTAACTACATTTCCCAGCAGCCAGGAAAACAAAGAGTGAAACACGGAAAAGGATTTGTAAAACAGATATTACAGCTATAAGCAGTGCGGTACACTAAGTCTGACAGCATTCGGAACAAAAGAGGCTCCAGCACAAGCAGATTTCAATTTTAGGCTCAGCTGGTTCAGTCTCTAACAAGAAAAATTAGTTTTTGTTATTTATGATTAGCTCTTGCATTTGTTATGAGATATAAAGAATGAGATAGGGGTTTAAAAAAATCGCCGTTGGCTCATTTAAGTCATTTCTATATTACAAATCTCGAATTCTCCATGTTAAAGAAGAATGTATCTTTATTATACAGAATGGTGAAACCAAAAGGTGTTTCAGAGATGAAAATTCTTGGATTTTAATTCAGACATAATTGAAGTTGCAGGGTTTTTCTTTGGTTTTTGTTTTGCCGTGGGAAAAAGGAGGATATACCATGTACTTGTTTTTGACAGTCTTTGTTTTGATTCATTTAAAACAGAATCCTCACGTGAAATACATCTAGGAGGACTTTTTGATAAATCTCCTAATTAGGGTTTGCTCAAGTGACCCTTAATGCTGCTATAAGCCCAGATTACTGCGGGTCTAACCATGATGCACCGCTCCTTACTCTGCTCTCATTAATTTCAGTGTTTTCAGCAGGTATTCCTGATCTGGTCTCACGGTGCTTATTTTCCTGTCCAATGAACCCCCATGAAGTTGCAGATGGGCACTCTCCCAGTCAGAGTCAGTATCCCAGTTTTTTCCCCTTAAAAAGGATTGTTTCTACCATAACCATGTGCACACCTGGGATGTCAAAAGAATGTTTTGGCACGTGAACCTTTATAATTTGATTTAATTGGATCATGATTGGGTGCAAAAGTGGTGTGGTGTTTAGCATGGTCACCTCAAAGCAAGAGGGTTTCTTGTTCAAATCCATGAGGGATCAGGGACCTTTCTGTGTGGAGTTTCCATATTCTCCCTGTTTCTACATGGGCTCTCTATGGGTACTATGGCTTCCTCCCACCGTCCCAAAAACATGCATATTAGGTTAATTGGACACTCTGAATTGCCTTCGGGAGTGAGTGTGATTGCATTTGTTGTGATTTGGCACCATAACCGAACCTAACTCTACAGAATTGTCAAAATAAGGTCATTATCACAGTCAGTCTTTTCTTTTTCTTAGTTCTGGCCAATTGCAACAAGACAAACCATTTAGCTAAGACATCAGAAACATGAGAAGCAAACAGGATATTGGGCTTTAGAGGATAGTTTGTGGGTGAACTCAAGCACATGCTCAGCTTTTAAAGGACAAGTAATCCAGTCAGTAATGGAGGGGTGGTGGTGAATGAAAGGAGGAGAAAGGCTGTCATTTTTCTTCAATCTTGAGATGAAAAGTTTTCCAAAAATGTCAGGTATGTCAGGTGTGTTTTGACAGTCAGCATTTCCTGATCTTTTTGAGTATTTTTTTTATTTCCATTTGGGTAGGTACAAAGCCTGAATCCCCCACAGAGTAGTCCAAAGATTGTTCAAAGTGAAACTAAATTAAAGCTCTAGTTTAAAAGATTTGGGGTGAATTTCCCACACAGAGCAACAAAGCCTACCAGCTAGACACTGGGATGTTGCTGGAGGGGACACATTTAACCCTGTAATGCCAAATGTATCATATTTGATACATTCGGTTTCTGAAATGTTTTGCGTCTGACACCTTTTGCATAATTTAATGGTAAAAACTTTGCTCAAAATCCTATGGTACATAATCAGATACACCTGATAACAGGGGGCAGAAGACTACACAAAAAAAAATCCTGACTTATAGCATAGTGATGAATTATTAATATAAAAAATGTATTTCTGTTTTTTCTTTTTACATATTTAGTTAAAAGGCCAAATAAAGACTTCAAACCAAAAAGTAATTTTCTGTTTTGTTTTATTCTTGGATCGGACTTTAAAGGGTTAAAATATTGGTGTTGATGCAATGTACAGTGTTTTATTCTCTTTTACCCTCCATCTGCACTCCACCACAAAGTACCTAATTATCTTGCAGACCACACAGTATCAATGACCAGTGTCCATGAACCTTGTGAGCGCCACCGAGACCAAGACTGGCAGCAGGCTATGTTTTATTTCAGAAAATCTAATAAGAGTGTTGCATCAGCTCACCAGTACTGCCCCTTGGACACATTGTTAGGGGACTTCCAGGGCTCTCTATCCATTCAGAGATGATCTACCCTGTCCTCTATACAGTACATATAGCCTTTTTTGCGCACTTTTCTCAAGATGTCCTTACAATTATGCCTTTATTTGTTCTCTTTCTTTTCAGCACTACGCAACACATCGTGATCAGACGTCAAGTGCCCTAAATCCAGGACGTGACTATTACACAAAAACTAATTAATCTAAATGAAAAATAATTATATCACCAAGTGGTAACAGTCCATTAACTTTACAACCATGATGTTACATGGTCACAATGAAAATAGTGCTCTAATGGAGCCGTTTACCTTAATGAAGCCGACTGCTACCAAAAACCATTTCTTTTATCAGTTGTCAGGAAGCGAAATTGGATATAAAAAGCTCTACATTTATATCTCGGATGAAGCGAGCTCTGCAACATTTTTCCACGGCACAAACCACTTTGAAGGGTAACAAAGATATTCGTTCACTAGCTTATTAAACATTTACAAAGTGATATATAAGATTACAGTAAAATCCTAGCCTTCTATGCAAGGACACATTAAAAAAAAAAAAAACTTCTTGAGTGAACTGACGGATGCCACCGGTAATGAAATTACTCAGCTTTTGTGACAAAATATGCTTGATCATTGTGAATTCTGGGATATCCGCTTGTCAGATGTGACTTGACTGAGAACTCGCTGTGTAAAAATCAAAAACCATGGACTGGAAATATACAAGTTGTGGTGCATGCTTTCCATGATGCTTCAAGGCTTTTACAGATTTTACTTTGTTCCACACGTTTCATAGCACAAACACTTGAGCAAACTTGTGTATGCCGACGTCATATAATTACTGCCAAATAAACATACCTTAGAAACACCACAAATGAACTATCTCCATCTTGTCTGATGCAGTCTCCTCCACAGAGCACAGTAGAAAGACACTCTGGCAGCCAGTCGGGTTTCAATCGTTCAAGGTGCAACCTTCAAAATGAGTCTGACTCATTCCAGACAACCGTTTTTCCCAAAGAATGATAGCAAAGAATGCTGTTTATTTTTGGGATCAGGTAATAGTAATATAAAATCAACATTTCTAAAGGCTGAATTGGTATATTATTTGAAAGAAAGTGCTTTCTCTTCATTCCACCCAGTTTATTCTATGTTCCAAGCTCATTCACTCTTATACTATTCGCTCTGAAAAGCATCACACTGAAAAGCCCTGTATGTTGTCTCAGAAATGTGGACCCTGTTACGACGTTTATCTTTAAAAAACACAGATCACGTTCTTTCTTTTTTCTTTTGAGCGATATTTCTGAAAAATGAATGAATCATTCAAAACCAGTTGCTTCAGACTTTGGTAGAGCAGCACACTGAGGGGAGGAGAGCTGTTTTGCTGTTGACAGAGCTCACCTGTTCTAAGTGTTAACAGCCATCAACACCTGCGCTTTTTCTTCAAAAGGCACACCAGCTGCACTCTTCTGAAAACAATAACATAAACATTACACAGGAAAAATCTTCCTCACTGCTTCATGCGACTGCTGCACCTGTGTACAGAGATAGTTGTCGGCCAGTTACTGTACACACTTTAGATAACACTGCCACCATCTGGCCTTTTGAGAACACCACTCACTAATAACCCCGACCGTTTCATTTTAAACATTTTTAAGCAGGAAGAATTCAAAAGAAAAACAGGAGGACTTAATTTGAAAAATCAATGTTTTAATTTCTAAGTAGATTGTTCAGTTATTCAGTGTGTTCACAAAAAAACAAAACATTTAAAGGTCTCTGTATAAAAAAGTACCATTAATCTTGGGAAATAACATTTTGGAAATACTTTACAATTAAAACATCTCTGCATTTCATGTCAGTAGTTTACATTATAAAGTCAATCAACTCTACATTATTGATCTATACAGCTGCAGTCAGCGATGTGTCTGCAAATATAAAGTACCATAAAACAGCTAGGAAAATAAAAATATGTACATTTTCCTGCATTGAACAATTATAAACATAGAATTAGAGGACAAAAACAGAGATTTCTACACACCCAATTAAGAAACATAAGGTGCCTTATCAGGAAATAATCTAGTGATACGGGTACCGTGAGAGTAATCAGACTGATCACCGAAATAGAGTGAAAAGCACACGTAAGAATACAGCTTTTTGGGGTCAGAGCTTCTCCACAAAGTTGAGCTTCTGTTTCAAATGAAACTCCAACAGAGTTTTGATAGAGTCTTTCACATTTTGTCTAAGCCTCAAATCAGGCTGGTGAGATTGTGTGGGCAGTAAGGCAGACTGTTATCAGAACTGGTTTAGAGATACCATCAGCATAGTTAGAATGAACGGTGCTCTGTCTTTGTGTTTTGAAAATAAGGGACGTATGTACATGAAGGCAGGTGAAGGCGTTAGAGTAATTTCCCCTGATAGAGGCAGAGTGAGGAGTCTCCCTCAAGTCCAGTCTGTGTTTCACTGAGCTCCCGCCCCCATTAGAGGACTGGGGTTTGGGTGGGGCTCACTATTGTGGTATTGGCACCGGGCTCCTCAACCACCGCCAAACTCCTCCTGTCCATTCCACCGCTCAACACCTCTGAGAACTGGCTGTGGGTTTACGGCTGGTAATCTTCAACAGGTAGCCAGCAGGTGTACGGGGGGGTGGCAAACATTAGTGTGGAAGGGAAGGACAGGGCTGTTCTGGCTACTTCCTCCCAGTTAAAGTGCCTTTGTGGTCGGTGTGGGCAGCTAAGGCCGATGAAATCTGGAAGAGCGAGCATAGAGGTCATTAAAATCAATGTAAAAGCTGTGTCCAGTATAGCAAAGGCTTAAATATTTATCCGAGCTGTGTGTGAGCCTTACCGAGTATAGATCCTGCTTTCTTGGTGAACTTCCATCTCTGAACTCTTGAATTCGTTGAGCTCCTTGCGAATGGCAGCCTGGAAGGAAAAGACATGAAAACAGAGGTGGCGATGTGATTTCTATGTGAATAAAGGCATGGGATCATAAGGAATTAGGTCACTTTTATTAGATATTGTTATAAATTAATAGTGCATCCAGTTGTTTAAATTTCCCTTTTGGAAAATTTCTTCAACATCAAATCTGTGCAATAAACAAAATTCTCTCAAAGGTGACCAAAAGCAGACGCTGTGGGGGACAATTGGCAGGCTGAAGCTTTACAAGTTGTATTGAGGGGAAGTGTGGGGCATCACCTTGTCAGCGGGAGTTAACTTCGTCCACGGCTTGTCTGCTCGCCGGTCATAGTCTTCAGCATGGGTGCACTCAACGTACTCGTGGAAACGAAGAATCTTTCTCTCCAGGAGTTCAGCCACTGTGGGCCTCTGGGACAGCTGATGGGATGAAGAGGAGATGTCACCTTCAACTTCACAGGAAAAACAACTGTCCAATAGCTTATCTGACAGCTTTAGAAATACTCCAAATGAGGATTCATACAGTAGGACTGACTGGCAAACACAGTCGGCACACGCTGTGCTTTCTGAAGGAGGGGGACTTTTCTCCTGGGTTAAAGTTTTTTTTTTTTAAATCAAGATTTAAGACAAAGCTCATCAATTCAAGATAATGAATCCTGACAATAAACAGAATCCATTCATTTTAGCGTTTTTAATAAAATCACTAAGCTCGTTAAGCATTCTTAAATTCTATGTAATCCAGTGATATAAATGCATGTTTAATAATGTTCAAAATATTCTGAATGCAGTATTCGTGTCTCAGTGTATTCACTGCCTGCTGTTAAACCTTGTATGGTATTTGTGGCATTCTGACCTTTCTGGTGAGCCTCCGTTTGATTTCGCTTCTCTCCATCCGTCGATCAGCTTCATTCATGGCTGTGAGGGGGAGGAGAATGCATTCCATGAGAGAGGTGGCACAGAACCTCTGGTCAGGTAGATTTCATCTGAACTGCAGCTAGCACGCTGCCGTAACAGGACCCGCTAACCGCACAGGGTGCTGCTTTGTTCTCAGAGCTGCTGAGTCATTCAGGGACGAACGAGTCCTGGATCAAAACGTGCTGACAGACCGTGCCGTGTTTATTAATCTTGTCCATGGGTTTGTTTCGCACCTCAAACATCAAACAGGAGGCTTGTTTTATACAACACACTTTTGGAGACAGTTTTCCTTTTCAGTAATGAAAAAAAACAGTCTACTGAAGGTTCCAGCATACCACTTTCCCTGGCTCTTAACATGGAATGTCGCTTTCTTTTTATCAAAAATTAAATCAAACCAAATCTTCCAGTCTGTGCCCGCATTGTGTGTTATACACAGGCAGAGGATTAAGAAGGTATACCATTGTCCATTACACACTCACACTGAACAAAAATGGCTGCTCAGCTTTGTATTCTTACATCAATCTCCAATTTGGAGAACTTTTCTATGTTTACTGGGCCTGGCTGTGAGCCTAAGACATTACATCTAGTCCTTCAGACATCAGCAAAAGGCTAATAAAAAAAAAAAAAAAGTGCTACATTGTAATGCCACTCGAAATTTTAACCTTTTATTTTCTGTAATATGGGGCATCTGGGATGGACGACCACACAAAGACAGATAAAGATGGACCGTCTCTGTGTGACTGTGGTTTATTTACACTTCTGTGATAGCAGTATTAATGTAGAAGGACATATTCAGCAATAGTGAAACGATTTTAAAAAGTCACCTTCAGCCCTAGTTACTGCTGAGGATGAGGAGGGTTAGGGTGGTAATGTAATGATGAAGCTGGCCCTTTCACAGACTTAATCAAAACTAAAACCAGACATGTTTGACTGCTTTTGATGCTCAGGAAATGAGGAAATGAGTTCGAACATTGACATAACCAATTCTTTTTTTTTTTTTTCTGGATTGTGTTGCAGGCCAGAAATTCAAACGTGGACTAACTAACCAATCAAATAATTTATCACGAAATGCCTCACGTTCTTGTCGCCTGGTGAGAAACAAAACCAATTTCTTCTGCAGTTTGTCTATAATTCTCTTACTGGTATGATTAAGTATTTATGTGTTTTAAAAAATTCATCAAAATATTAAATAGAAAAAGGAGTAATAATAATTTTAAAAGGATGAAAAACACCACCAACGATGGAACTCAACATCAGCAGTTAGGTAATAGAAAGCAGATTGATAAAGTTTTTTTTTTTACCTTTCCATACATACAAACAGGCCTTGAATAAAGAAATGATGGAGGGAATATATCACCTGGGAGAATGTTTCTCTGCTCCAGCTCCTCTGCTGTGGGCCTCTGACTCAGCCGCCTGCAAACAGTTATTTCACGTTAGTCAGCTCAAAGGTTCAATGGCAAACTGGGCACACAGCTTTTCCCATCAGAGGTGGATAAAGAGCCCTCTGATAAGTGCAGCAGAGGTGATGTGAGGGTGCATGCATGTCACTGCTTTTCAGAGGGAAGTCGGCTAACTCAGAGGGGTGTTTTCTTGGGGTTCAGCGTGTCCTACCGTGTGAGCGTGCTGCCGATCTTGTTCCTCACAGCCACCCACTGCTCCCTGCTCTGCCAGCTCATGCCGTCGGAATTCTCCTGGGCGTCACGCTCCCTCCCCTGCCTCTCTAGCTTCAGGTCCAGTGTGTCCTTCCTCTTCACACGGCTCGCCAGCCCACCTGTCGCACACAAGGCCAAGAAGTTCAAATAGAACAACAGCGACGATGGAAATTATTATGACGATGAGGATCAATTCAGAACTTTTCCTTCCGAGTAAACGATAAAGATGGCACCAGATAACTTACTTATAGGAACTTCCTCATCCTCAGAGTCATCTGACTCGTCTCTGTACAGGATGGGGCCATCGGAGTCAGAGTCGGTCTCGTTCTCGCTGTCCTCAGAGCCTCCTCCCTCGGGGATGACACTGACCCGGGGGTCTCCCACCAGACCCCTCCTGCTACGGGGCTCCAGCTCAGGCTGGCGGGGGGGCCTCTGAGGATGGAGCTTACGCAGCTCCTCCTCCATGTCGAAGTCGTCATCTTCCGGCCTGTAACACAGCGGCTGTGAGTGAGGTGTTCCGTTCAGTGTGAGAGAAGCTGCTAAACCTCAAGACTGCTGTGTTGATTTAGGGAGAGACACCCATAGAGAATTATCCTAATTTGCACACAAAGAAAGGAACATCTTCCTAAAATATGGAAGATTTTTTTTTTTTTTTTTTTTTGTAATTGAGTTTTTTTTTTTTTTTTATTAAGAAATTTTAAACGGGAAATGTGTGACTAATAAAAACCACTAGATGTCACACTGAAACAGCTAAATCTAACTCCAAAACAGTTCATAATGTAATCCCTCTTTTTGAACAAAGACTCAGGGTTATACATTTGCTACACACATGAAAATGCTGTCAGTACATAACGGGTGTGATAGATAATGATAATGATAATTCATCGTTTTCCGTATCCTTAATATCTTATTTTGAACAACAACAAAGAACTACTACACCAAAAACGCATGCCTTTAACATTGTTTTTGCCCTGTTTAACCCTTTACCTATGACGCTTTTGTACGTCCGGAGCATTTGCCATTTAATAAAATGTAATTATTGTAACTTCATCAAAGTTTACTCATTCTGAAAAATTCCAATGCTGACCGGGAACTGAGATTCTGTGTTCCCCATTGCTATAAAGTATTATATATTACGGTAATGTGGAAAGGTAACTCTGATGGAACACAGAGAAAAAGGGTGAAAGAAGAGAGAAAAAGAGCGGCGTTTTGTTGTTTTTGTTTTAAAGCATTACACAGCTTTATTTGTGCGTGGCTGTGTGTTTTATTTCAAACATTTTAAATGTCAGGATGGCCATCAACGACTGTAAAATGGCCACTATTGTTCATAGAAGAGGAGAGCGATGTGGAGGATGCGTCTGCTTGTGAATCGCCTATGTTGGTTTTACTTTTACAACTTGTAAAATACGGTACATTTGGAGCATCAGCAGGTAAATGGTTAATGAGTAGGAACTAAATTATTGGAAATAATGCACCAAATAAAAGGATTTTTAGGCACAGCCTCTTTTTAGATGTCCAGAAATCCTATAATATCTACCCAGACTATTTCTACCATATCCCTCGATTGGAGTATAAAGTATTAAGTAACTCTCTGACTAACTAACCAAGCGAGCAGCTCCTGTTTCATGTTATGTAAGAATGTAACATGGAGTATAGAGCTCACTTACAGTCTGAGAGGTTCGATGGTGACAGGCAGGGAGCGCCGTGGGTTTCCGCCCACCTCTGTGAGGAAGTCTGGGGGAGACTCGAACAGAAGAGAGTGGGCCCTCTGGGAGCCATCTGGGTTGCCCTGGGATGGCCCGGGGCTGGCCAGAGCTCTCTGGATGAGGATGTGCAGAGGGATGTTAGGGGGCTGGCTGGGGGGCTCGGTTGTTGGACTGGGAGGACCCACTTGCACAGCTGGAACAGGAGCAGATGAGGTGGTGCTGGGCGGCTGGAGCGGCTTAACTCTGGGAGGTGATGGTGGTATGTGGGAAGGCGGCAGAGGCAGAGGCTCTGCTGATGTGTGCAGAGCTGGTGCAATTGTTCCGTCTTCGCCAATTTCACCTTTTGGGACAGCAGGGGGCACCAGACCTGGGGCAGAGAGCTGCTCAGAAGCGGGACCCTCTGGGGCCAGGCTGGGTGGAGAGGGATCCACAGGATGACGCTTGGTGACAGGTGTCATCCTTTTCGGCGGGGTTGGTGGTGAGCGCTTGGCAGGAGCGGGGACTACAATCACACCACTACCCGGATGGGAGACCTCTGCTGTTAAAACAGACAGTCAGGATTTTAAGATTTGTCTTATGCAGAGTGGGGTGCTCACACACAAAAATACAGATTTAACTGAAATGGGAGTGAGGTTAGTTTATGGACAAAAAACAAGCAGAGACAAACATGTCAGTTCTGGCCAATGAGAGATGATGAACCTGTTACTGCCTGCTGAGTCAGACGTGGCTCTCACACACACACACAAAATTACACACAGCCGCATCACGGCTTTTAGTGAACACATTCCGCACGCTTCAGCATTTCCATGCAATGCCATCTGGGAAGCATTTAGAGAACATTACAAAATGAACGGGGAAAAAAAAGAAACACGTTATTGGCTTTAGTCACATGCATGCACTGCATGTCTGTTAAAATGTGAGGTCAAGTGAAGGCAGCGTTTGGACGCGGCCAGCCTGCAGACGGGTACCTGAGCAGGTCTGGCAAGCCCTGTGCCGCATGCACACGGGCAGAGAAAGGTAGAGGCCGAGTTCACTCTGCCGTCTCCAGCTGGTCCAGTGACAAGGCTGCCTGACTTTGACCCCTGTTCAAGGAGGAAGCTGGCAAAAATGAGTGGATATGTCAGGGAGGGGGGCTGGGTTTACATTCCAAGCTGGGAGATAAACATGAAAGGGCAGGGGAGGCGGGAAGGAAGGGGGTTCAGATAATGTTTGTCTTGGCTTTACACTGTCCAGAAGCAGTGTATACATCCATCATCACACTATAAACATTATTAGTAGATATAATACTAAGCAGAAGAGACATTTCTGCAGAGTGGTACCTCTGTATCACTTCTTGATTTTCTGACATTCCTATTGGCTCAATCATTTTTTTCTTACCCCAAAGCAAGGTTGGTTTGAAAAAAAAAAAAGATTAGTCTGCCAAGGCTAGATGTGTTGAGCATTCCCCCATTGTATGATCATATGTCAGCTTACAGCTGCAGTAAACCGGTCACGCTCTTTTCTTTGATTAAAGAAAAGATCACAGATCGTAGGATGTGTCCAATACATGAAAAGCAGACAAAATTATATGAAATATAAGACAGAAATGTCAACCTGTAAATAAGTGCAGTGAGGAAAAGAGATAAAAAAAGAAAATATTCAGGCAGCTATTCCTCGCTGTAAAATGAGACCTTGACTAACAAATGGCAGTGGAATGTATCACTACCATGGAGACTTTGAGAGTTTCAAACTGACATGTTAGGGATGGGCAGTAAACAAGAGCAGCTGTGGCATGCTGGGACAAAGGATATTAAAAATCCAAAGTTATAATCGCTTCCCATCTGCCCTCCAGAGAAGTTCAGATGATGAATTGAAAAAACAAAAAAAACAAAAAACAAGATGGTGCATGACTGATTCACAGAGACTGTTGGCTGAACACATCAAGATATTACAAAATACCTACACAGATCACAGCCAGATGTAATTCTAGCCTATTGTTTTTTATGTGCCTGTGTTTATGTATGAATAGGATCAGTGTCAGACACAATTACAACCAAAAAAGCAAACTGGTTTTAGAATTCTAACATTTTCACAATCGTTTTAAAAGGTAAGGCACAGCAGAGAAAGTGTTATGATTAGGGGCTGTTTTGTGTACCTTTGTATGTAGATTGTGTGCAAAATACATCATTGTCTTGTTAGTTTAGTTTTTTGTTTTGACTAAGTTTTTTTTTGTTCGTTTCAACTAAGCAGGACTTGGATCAGGAACAGTTGAAGTAATAACTTTACATAGCTGCTGCAAATCTACAAAATTTTGTAGAATGACAAAAAACAGGAAAATAAGCCTGGAGGCTGCCTTGAGCTCCTAGTGAGTGACCTAAAGTGAATGACTCGAAGATTTCCTGAAGGTCTGGCTGTTCTCTGTGGGGAGGAAATGCCCTGAATGTCCCTCCACTCAATGGGAAACAGAGTCTCCTTTGAGCCAGACAGCAATAATTGAATGAGGGATAGGTAATAAATTCAGATTTAATTTAGTTGAAAGATTCAAAGGGCCCACAATGGTGAATATGTTTGTTTGGAATCTAAAAGAGTATGACAGCCTGACTGCCACCCACATGGTTTCGGAGGGCATGATAGACGGTGAACTCTAGTTTCTTCTGTAGGATCTCAGGGTTCCTAGTAAATCTATTCAGTGTTTCAGGAGAAGAAAACCACCAGTGTACCAAACCTCATCTTTGTATTCAAGGGTGGAGATGTTACGTGTGTTTTTTTATTCTATTTTGATTTTTCTTCTCGTCCCCTCAAAAAAAAAGTAAATGCGTGAAGTGTGAATATGGGAGCAAATTAGGCACAATTTAGCAACCAAATAGAGTAACAAAGATATGACGTCTTCAGACATGACACCTAGTTTGATGCTGCCTGGAGATATCCAGCTGGAGGGAGGGATTAGTGGGGTTCGTGTCACAGAAAGACAAAACCATGGAGTCATGTTAACCATGGTTTTAAATACCCAATGGCTATTTGCAGAAAGTAAACTGAAGCAACCACAACTCACTTAATAAAAACAACAGGCTGAAAATAGAAAAGTAGCTAATTCCTTCTAAATGGAATTATTCAAATCTTTATGACAAGTATTGGTGGGTCAGAAACCACCATCTCTGGGCTAGATAATTGTTAAGGATAGGAGCTATAAATCCTCATCTAAGGGTATGGCTTATGAAACAGCCTCACTCTTCAGATAATCTATGCTTTTAATCATCATGACTTGTATTCTCATAATTATAAAAAAATAAAGTTTGAATTAGGAGATATCCATCTCAAACTTATATAAAAGAGTGGGTAGCCATGCTGAGCTGTTTTTTTCAGTAGTTTCAATTTCCGTAGTTAAGAAATGTATTTTATAAATGCTGTTCTTGCCCGTTTAGTCTTAGTTTTAGGTACTCAATGTTTTCTTTTTAACTTGGCACCTTTGTCATTCATTCATTTCGTCCGTCTTTGCACCTGACAAAGTTGCAGATGTTTGTGTTTTTTTTGTGACACTTCTAATGACAGACTGATGACCCAAACACAAATAAACATCTCATCAGACCATCTCATTATGGTGTGCCCTAATTCTCAAAAAGATTTTGGGACAAAAGAAAAATTAGCGGGCCAAAGAATCAGTTTTCCTTGTGATATGTAAATTACAGAGGGCTGGCTGATGGGTATTTGTGGCTGTGTTGTTTCAGGTGGCAGCTGCTTCTCTGTAACTAGCAAGTTTCAAACAGGTTTATCCATTTTGTTGCAAACACTTCCACCTGCTCTGTAACGTCACTTCAAGAAGGACGAGCGATTAAAATCCGACACCTGCAGCAGGCAAATAAAAACACGAACCAAAACCAATTGATGCATAAAGATTTTGCTACTCATTGGCTCTTTGAGAGGAAACAGTCAACCTGTGAATGAAGCATAACACCACATGGGGGGGAAAAAACAATTGAACAAAAAAACACAGTTTTTCTGTGTGACAACAGGACACTCACCATGCAGTGCGGGGTTGCTGTTGCGGTGGAAGGGTTTGGGAGGAGGGACAGGAGGCTGTTTGGCATGAGGAGGGACGGGTGGAGGTGTTTCAGAGTCAGTTGATGAAGCAGAGGCATGGGAGGGCCGAGGAGTGTCGTCTACTATTAGGGAGACTGTCCTCGGCGGCTTGGCAACAGGCACTTCGACAGAGGCGGAGGAAGACGAGGAGGCTGAAGAGGAGGAGGAGGGAGGCGGACTCCTGGAAGACTCATGAGGAGGACCGGTGAGGAATTTAGGGGGTAGCAAAGCCTGCTTGGGAGGGAGAGGCTCCGGCTGGGTGTCTGGTGCAGGGGAAGGGTTGGGGGCGAAGCGCACACCAGCAGACTCTACAGAGGCGGGGGCACACACAAACACAGGCAGTCATTAAGAGGAGCGACTTCCAATGCCAGAACTATGTAAACAGGAAGCACACAAGGTCCAACACACACAGGAAAAATGACAACTGAAGCAAAAGCCAAAGCGAGGAACCAAACTTAATTATGCTGACCTTTCAGAGGGAGGAAACCTCTGATTTTATACAACTTAGAGGAGCAGCAACCTTAATAAAGGAGATAAGCAATAATAGCTTGGAGAAACACAGATAGACACAAGGGTTTTGATAGTCTCATCCATTCTTGTTGACTCAAAACTCAGAACTTACTTATACTCCTGCTTTTGTCACAACCAACAATCATTCATCTAAAATACTTTTTTGAATATTATTAGAGGATTTTGGTTGGGGATTTATTAAGTTATGTCTATTCATAACAAAACTTGGAAGATGACCTCCAAAATCGATTTTTTAAACAGGCTAATTTTGCTGAAGGCTATAAAACAGTTGTTTTACAAATGTTTCAAGTTCCTAGAAAGGAGACAAGGGTTTACCCACTGAAAAGGCTTATCATCTGATAAGACTAAGTCAAACTCTAAACCTATAACTCTGCTATGTGAGCCCATCTTTAAACCTTAAACTGGTGGAACAGTGGCAGTCCAAATGCGGTTCTGCCATACATCCTGAAAGATATTGAATTTCAAAAACCAGACCACATAATTTTTGCAATTATCTAAACAAAAATTAGGCTTCTAAAGGTTCATCTTTTATTGTTGTTAGTATAAGTAAAGTGAGTCTTAGAGAACACTTCACTTTGAAGTAGAACTATACATTTTCAGAACTATATTGAACTAAAAAGAGATTTAAAGGGGGCAGCAGTTGATTTTCCATTGTAAAGTGTCCAAATCAGACGCCTGTCCAATTTTAAACATGGAACACCTGGTTTCACCAAAGTTTAAAACAAAGTTTAAAACATCTGACTACCTTTGAGTGGTCGACCGCTGTCTTTCTTGTAAATGGCACAGTCAGTGTTAGTTTGCATTGTTCAGTAGAGGCAGAAATCTTACCCGAGCGCTCTCTGAACTCTGCAGGCGGAGCGTATCTCGGCAGGGTAGTTCTTCGGTCAGCCTCTGAGGCGGAGGAATATTTGCTTGCTTCTTCTGAGGAGGTCTTCTTTAGAGGAGGCCGTAAGTCCATCTCGGAGACGGGCCTGACAACGGGCCTGAAGTCTTCTTTAGGCCGCTGAGGTACCGGTCGTTCTTTCCTCTCCTGTTCATCTCTGCGATCTTTTTCATTTCTCCTGGCCCAGTCATCCCGTTTATTCCTGTCCTCTGTCTTCTCTCTATCTTCAAATCTGTCCTTGTCACATTTCCTGTCTCTATCATTTCTCTCTATTTGAATGTCTTTCTTCTCTCTGTCATCATTGTTCTCTCTCCGTTCACGCTCAAAATACCGGTCTTTATCATCTCTCATGCTCCGTTCTTCCCTCCTTTCTCTCTCTTCCCGATCTCTCCGTTCCCGCTCTTCAAAGTCCTTGCGATCTCTCTCATGACTAGCTCGACGTTCCTGCTCATCCATATCCCTCCGTTCTTGTTCCAGCCGGTCCCTATCCTTTCGTTCCCTCTCGTCTCGATCCCTATCCCTCCGCTCCTTCTCCTGTGGATCCCTATCCCTCCGTTCCCTCTCATCACGATCCCTATCCCTCCGCTCCTTCTCCTGTGGATCTTTATCCCTTCGTTCCCTCTCATCACGATCCCTATCCTTCCGCTCCTTCTCTGGTGGATCCCTATCCCTCCGTTCTCTCTCGTCCCGATCCCTTCGTTCCCTCTCGTTCCGTTCCCTCCGTTCTTTCTCGTCCCGATCCCTATCCTTCCTTTCCCTTTCCTCCCGATCCCTATCCTTCCTTTCCTTCTCGTCCCGCTCCTTCCGTTCCCTCTCGTCTCGATCTTTATCCTTCCGCTCTTTCTCCTCTCGATCCCTATCCCTCCTTTCCTTCTCGTCTCGGTCCCTATCCCTCCGCTCTTTCTCCTCTCGATCCCTATCCCTACGTTCCCTCTCGTCCCTATCCCTACGCTCTCGAATGTCTCTGTCTGTCCTTTCATCTCTTCTATCCCTGTCATCTCTCCACTCTCGTCTTTCTCTAAAGTCTTTATCTTCTCTTCGGTCAACTACCACATCCCTTTCCTCTCGCTTGTCCCTTCTATCCACGTCTTCCCTGTCCCTCCTTCCTCTGTCTTCTTTTTCATCTTTACCATCTCTCCTTTCCTCTCTGCGATATCTATCATCCTGTGTAGGTCCTCGAGGTAAAGATCCCCCTCTTTTATCAATATCTGAGGGAATGCGGCCGCGTCGATCTACATCCGCCGAGAGCCTTGCGTGAGAGTCCACATCCAGAGGCGCTCTATTACTTCGGGAGGCATCAGATGGCACCCTGCTTCGACGATCATCTCCCTGAGGAAGCCTGATGGGATTGCCCTTAATGTCGGAATCCCTTCGAGACGTTCGCACTCCAGCTTCTGACACTCTGTCCACATCCATTGGCACAGGGTGCCCATTTTTCAACGGTGGAACTTTAGAGTGGTTCTCATTGGTCTCTGTAAGTACCAGAAAAAGTGGTGAAATATGTGTCATTATTAAGAGCCAGTTCAGTTTCAGTCCTCACTTGTATTGTTACTGATGAAAAGCTACAACTTTACCTACCATTATCTGGGATTTCCTTTAAAACCCCTCTTGCAATCAGCTCTTGGCGAGTTTTCCTAACAGATATCTTTCGTTCCAAAACTGAAAAATAAGTTTGTGGAAATTAACTAAGCAAGACAACAAGGCACACCACAAGAGATGATTTCAATTTTTAAAATAACAGCAAACTTACCTATCGATGTTTCTGTGAACTTTTCACTTGGCTTCTTCTTCCTCCATTTCCAGGGCTTGAAGATCCTTCCCATTTTAGCAAACTTGCCTTTGCGTTTAGTTGGAGGTGTTCCTTCACTAGAGTTTCCCTCTTCATTCCCAGATGTGCTCTGCTGCAGGTCTACCTCATCATCTGCATGAAAATAACATTTAAATGATTTTTTTTTTTTTTAAACAAATGTTTAAATTAAGCTTTCCTCAAAATTGAACTTGACAATTCACAAATATACCAGCACAACCTGCACTGGCTTGCAGGGAAAGGCCGCACCGTCACAGACATTAGGCAGTTCTGGTTACAAACCTCATGACTAATGACAAAAATAAAAACAATTTTAGACTTCAAAATCTAATCTATTATCAAAACTGGTCCAACAGTCACTCTAACAGCTACTGTTAAGTTTCTACATTTGGAATGAAACTTTCAGTCTCCTTGGTTTAAACTTGAATATTAATAACTACAAAGAAAGCTATTTAAATACGTATCTGTAGGTAGTAAAACCTGAGTAATAAATAGGACAAACAAACAGAAACTGTGACTCATTTCTCTGTTTTTTCTTATTTGAAGGTGCTGAAAATGTGAGGCAATAACTGGGCGTGAAGGCACTTGCAATTCTCTGGAAATGAGTCGTAAGACAGAAGTCACTGCATGCCCAGAAGTATAACAGAAAAAACGGATAGGAAACTCTCGTGCAGAAATGACTGTGAGCGTTTAAAACAAAACACAAAAACACACACACACAAAATATTCTAAACAAAACTACATCAGCTGCTTTTGGATTCTGAAAAAATGCGACCAAAGCCACTCGGATATGTGGTCCTAAATCCGACACATATCAGATCTTTTGGGTCTGTACAGCCAGGATGCATTAATCCGACCTACATGTCAATGATCTTTTGAAAAACGTCACTATTCTCCATCTTGCTATGCGAATAAAAAAAAAAACAACAACCATAACAGATACGGAGAACGGTCAGTGGAGAAAAAGTGAAGTTTCTGATCTCATTAGCATTTGGGGGTGTAGCTCTATCCATGGAAAACTCTTTTTGTTAGCATTTCCCAAGAAATGGCAGAGTGTGGGTATAAATGTTCCTGGCTCTAATCCCAATGAAAAATAAGAAGCCTCCAGGCAAAATACAAGGAGACGATAGACTAAAGCAAATGAAGCAGCCATGGACATTTCACCTGTCCATTTTATGAAGAGCTGGACCATAAACGCTACATATGACGTTACTGACTCATGTACTGCACAAGAAGGACACTTCAAGGTTTCGCTTTCAGTTCGAACTGGATATCACGTAGGAGTCGCATATATTTGGAAATGTGAACGACCACACCAAAATAAAAATGAATGCAATAAAAATGTATTTCACAAAAGTTGGATTTGGATGACTTCAGGGTGCAGTGTGAATGTAGTTAGTCTCCATCAAACCATGATGGAATGGACAGATGTGGCTTTTTCACCCCTGACCCCTATTTTTAAGAGGTCCTTTGTTTCAGCACTTAGTGCCACTTATCTCTACAAGCAGACAGGAACACTTTTAAAAAGGCTGGTCAGAGAAGGCTGTGAGGTGATGCAGAGAGCAAGGTTTTTAGCCTTTATGTGGCCAGAGTGTTTACACTGAGCTCTGTCATCTGTCAGTCCACATTTTTAAGAATTGGGAAAATCAATCAATTAGTTGACAGCAACTTTAATTATACGGATTCTAAATAAAACAGTTTTGCCTGTGATTAGTGTTGTATTCCGAAACCTAGTCAAGAAAAATACCAACAGTGAACACCACCTTGGGCTGAGGTAAACTAGTAAAATAAAATTTGGAATATAGAAGAAATACAATGATTGATGATGTCCTTCTCTGTAAACATTATTCCGTCTGAAGGACAGCAGGCTGCATGGATGAACTTTTACACAGTAAAAAGGGCAATCTTGAGGAAAATGAACTCAAATCACTGGCTTTCACAGTTATTTCTGAAGCTGAGTGTTGAATTGGGAAGCGTGGCAGTATAGGAAGATCCATTGAGCTAAGGGGAGTTACTCCTGACCGATGGGATACAACAAAACGGGAAACCGTCAGAATAAACACTAAATTCATTATGCGTTTGCGTTTACCGACACACTCCAAACAGACACCTGAAACTGAAATAAGAGCACATGTCTCTGCAAATGCAGAGATCTAATAAAAGCGTGCAGGAAATGCTGACCAGCTGGCACCAATGCGACTCTCCGCAGTCCAAATGTCCACATGACTTACACCAGTCACGAGACACGTTGACGCCAGCTATGCAGAACAACACACCAGAGGCAAAAAATATACCCTGCGTGTCGAGCAACTGTTTGACAAGAAGGAAGATTGTGGAGAAAGACGAAGAGTAAATAATGATTCACCACAGTGGGCCATGTCTCAGAGGCATAAGGGACAGCGGATATTAGTGCTATTAGAACACTTCGTAACAGCGGCGAGACAAGTCTCATGCAACTCTGTTCCAATCTTTACACCAGTTTGACCAAAGAGTTTTAATAAAAACATGAAGACAGCTGGTGCCAGCTGCTGCACTAGCCCCAAGCCCCCGATCTTGATTTTACGTGCACTCCCACCGGAACACGAGTCCTGTGTGCACACAGAGGGAGGCTTGTGTGGTACTACATTTCACAATCGCTGCATTCCATCTGTGTGCATTCTTCTACACCTGCCTGTACCTGCCGCCCTGCAGTTCCTCTCTGCTTTGGTAACACCTGGTCGTCTGGGAGCTGGGGCCCTGCTGGCTTTCTACCCCCCATAAATGTGAGCGCAGGCTAACAGATTTCTCCCACGAAAAACGACAAAGTCAAAATCCTGATGGCAGTCGGTGACCGTGGAGTCTGTGGTCGACGACTCACCCGGGTTGTGCTGCTGGGCTGGTTGCTGGGCCACAGTCGGGCTGCTAGCACTGTGTCCCATGCTCCGTCTTCTGTCCCTACGGAGCTGCCGGGTGTGCCTTTCCGAAGGCCCCCGCGGCAGGAGAGGAAAACACTCGCTCTTCTCCTCAGACGCGGCTACTGTAACTACAGACTCCCTTGACTGGATCTTGAGGCGATTAGTTTCTCTTGGCTCTACCGTCTTGCCCTCCCCCTTTCCCTCAGCCTGTGTTATTTGGCCTCTTCCTCCCTCCTTCGTCTTCTCGCTTTAAAACGCAAAACCTGCTCCCTCTCCTGGCGCTTGGGTCCCTCCCTTCTTGGAGATCTGACTTCATAAATAAGGTACTCCAATAAGGTAATCCGGCAGTCTAGGATGCCATTCATTCCTGAGAGCAGATTTCAGGGGCAAAGTTCACAGCAGGCAACGTCTGACGCTCGGCCGGCCCAGGCACCAGGCCTTGAGGGATTTGCATTGCACTGTCCCCCACCCTGGCCTCCCTTCGTCTGTAAACACCATTTTACAGACTGACAGAACACTACTCCCAGAAGACAGAGGGGCGGGCTCAGTAAAGGTGAGGTAACTTGATAAGTGCTGGGTAATCCAGGCCGAGGTGGAGCTCAGTTCCAAAGAGCAGGAAGTGACACAGTGCAGGCATACAGTGACACTTCTCTTGTCCTTTTAAACAACATAATGCACACAGGGGAGACTTTAGGTTATATATAAGCAGCTCAGTGTTTACTCTGTACACTTTTTGATTTTTAAGAACTTAAGTGGACCTTATACAGAGAAAATCAAATGAACCCATGCCCAATTTGACAGCTCCAGCTAAAAGAGCTGTTGAAATTATTTTATTAACTTGAGAAAGTTCCACTAAAAGTTCAAGGCAACAGTCCTTAATCACATCAGTGGTTCAGAGGGACAGCCTGCACCTCTGTCAGAGCTCTTTGATTAGATTATGTATCAGACTGTGGGAGTTAGGAAACGTTTGATTCACAGAAGTGAGAATAACAATAAAGCATTAAAAAATTAAAAAGGAAAATCTTCTTTTAAACTACTACCCAAATAAAGTTGAACTAATGAGCTGAACAGACAAAATGGACGTATATAACAAGGCCTTTATGATCATCTTTGTATCTTTTCTCCAACCAATCAGATACACTGTTGCTCCCTCTAGTGTTCCCATACAGTAATAGCACAGGAACTCTGACACGGGAATGTTGGGAATGTTAAGACCACGAGTCAGCTTTGGATTCAAGGACAGTAACTAGGACAACTATCCACAACAGCCAGGGGACAAAAAACAGAGATAGCGTCAGTCCTTATCTAATTCACAACACCCTGTTACTCAAACATCCCTCTTCCCTTTTAAAAGGAGCAGGGTGATAAACCTGAGACCGCACACCTGCTTGAGAAAACATCAAGCGATCATTAAATGACATCCTCCAAAACTGCAGATTCAGACAAAACATGGAACATGAAACTGAACAAGACGTTGAATGAAAATGCCAGCTCATGCGAAAAATTCCTGTTCCCCAGAACCTGTCGTCAAGGCACGGACACAATACTTTTAGAGGAGAGCCGAGGAGGAAGTTTAGTTATTTTTACTGCTTGGCCACCGAGCCAGGCAGGGATGAGCACAACAAGCCTCTTAAGCTGTTCTCACCGTCGGCCAGTTATCCTAGAAGTGCTCACCGGGCTGTGCTTGGCCAGCCCGTGCCAAGTCACACCAACAGCATTGATTCAGTCTCAAACTATGTGACCGAAGTCAACCACGTAATCTACAAACAACCATAGGAAAAGGGTTACTCACTATTATTCTGAGACTTCATGGCCATCACACAACAAGGACTCAGCTCTGTAGCAGCGATACCCGACGGATGTCAATGGTGGAATGGATTCAAGGCCATGTGTGTTTGTAAGAGAAACCAGCAGCTCCACTAACACTCAGGTGTGTCCTAAGGGGGAGGGCTATCAGGTATTTCACTGATAAACAGCACTAAGCGTCACACAGCCAAGCCCATTAAGGACGCCTTCATAACCTAAGACTGTCTCAGTCGGTTCAATGTTCCACTGTAATCATACTACAGTCACTATGAGGCAGAAACCCACACACATACACAGATTACAGGATTTAAAAGCTAATTATTTTACTTAATATTTTACAGCACTCCCTTAAAAGATTATATGTAAAAAAAAAATTGACATTTGACATATTTAAACAGTGCAATTCAAACAGAAAAGATTCAAACTCCACATTTCAGTGTGTCTTACCAGGATTTTCCATCACAGTGTCCGAAAACTCAGCAGTCAGCAGCTGAAAGAAATTAAACAGGATCAGTGTTACACACACAAGCTTGCTGAACCATGGGGGGGTTAGTGTCAACGTTCAGGTGTGAACTCTCCAGCAGGGTTATGCAGGTTTTATAAAGGATGAACTGGGGAGATTTTTCAGACGCTCTGAAAGAGGCTACAAATCTCTGACATACAGACAAATCCCTCATTGGTCTAATACTTATTATATAGCCTCCAAACATTAAGAAAAACTTTTCCCCAAACCTCTGCTCACACCAGAGTGAGCATTATACAGAGCAATAACAGATCTCTTTGTCAATCATAAAATAAATTTAAAACGGAATTTTTTAAAAAGATATTCAAAATAACAATGATAGTTTGGAACTTCTGTTTTTCTTAATCAATTACAAACATTATGGAAGCACTTGATACTAAAAAGCAAAGGTTCAGATCATTAGTCAACTCATATTTAACATTGGCTCATTCTTCTCAATAAATATGGAGCTTTTTTTATCTCATTTGTGTAGATTTACCTATCAGTTTTTGTATTATTACAAGATGTACAGCACATAACACAGAACAAATAACATTTTACTGAGACAACAGTCTCAAGATAAATATTACTGGACGAAACATTAAAATTATGCTTTACATTTGTGGAAAATAAATTTATAAAATACTCACAGGGATGTTCAACACATTACATGTTCTCAGAAGCAGACTAGGTATTAAACTAAAACGTAAGACATTTTTTTAAAGTTCTGCTTACTCCATAGTAAACAAAGATTTACTGTGTATTCCGTTTGTTTTTAAAAGGATTTTAACGCTGGACAGGCTTGTTAGGAGTATTCTGCGACCAATCAAACATCTTCAGTGCTTCGTAGTTTCAAAAGCGAGCGGCTAGGTGGGTGTGCATCACCACGGTCAGATCAGTGTGACGAAGACGAAAACCCAGCTGACACCAACAACGAGTTTGTGTTTTCTCTTCCACAAAGCTTCAGGGTAACTATTCAAAGAATGGCTCTACGTGCAATTGGTCTAAATCAGTAGGTGTGACCGCATTATGTCAAAAGCTGAGGTTGCTCAACTCAGCGGTGCCAAGCTGCTGAGAGCAAACTGTTCAAACCCAACAAAGCAGAGACCCACCATATTCGGTTTCTTTCTCTCTTTTTTGTGCTGTTGTATTGTAACATTACAGGTTTTACAATGCTCTTGTAAAATATGTCAACGCACAAGATGCCTGGACATACAGAGTCAGGTTCCCTTTATAAATAGTTCCTCATTCAACAAGATTTTAGTTTGCTTGGATTCCTTGGCACGCATGAACAACCCGAATTGCGTTGTACTTGGTAAACAATTGGTTCATTACTTGGAAACTTTTCAGGGAACTTCAATATGTTTAGTCTGTGGGCTACACGCCAACGCCTCAGCATGGTCAGCATTCATTCTGTCCAACTGGTTCGTCAAGTTTCGGCAAATAATGTACAATGCTCGACAGCTGGTCGAAACAGCATTTACAATCCACAATTATTGTGCAATACAGAGATCAACACTATGCACACAAATCACCCCATAAAGAAATGAACAATGATAGGAGAAAACTATTATTTTCTTTCAATTAAATCCTTAAATTGCTTATCCTCCATCGTTTCCAATCAGCTCACGAGGACAGAGAAGTTGATCCGTGGCCCAACTCACAAATAATTCACTAGATAAATTTCAGCCTGTCTGCAGCCCAGCTCCGTCTCAGATGTCCGGTCAGTGGCCGTGCCGGCTAACAGCAGAACAAACACTGAGGGAAGTTAATGTGCACCGGGCTTGTTTGCTTACATACTGCCCCAGAAAACTGGAGCAGCTGACCGTGTCAGCTCAGTCAGCACCACCACGTGAACAAGTTCAAACACACACAGTTCACACCCAGCCAGGTCACCATTTAGCAGGACTCTTTAGGTCGAGGAGAAGACGAGCAGGGCTCGGATTTAGGAAGTGAATTTACAGCTCGTAGTCTGTGTGAAAGACACGGACAGCTAAGTACGTCTAAATGAAGTCAAAATGGCAGCCAGATTTTCAGGTTTGGTAATTGGATCCATTAGCAGGATTTTAGAACTTTCACATGACAAGTGAGCCTTTCATGTGCTTTTCTTTCTTCACAAAGTTCATTGACTTCTACCAGATTAAAACCGGTTTCCACTGCAGATCTGAAACAGGGGAAGATGGATACATCTTCACCAGTCAGTTGTATCCTAATGAGGACATTAGGTTGCAAGAGAAGGTGCTATTTTTTTCTACATTTTTAGGTAGGGCCTACGCAAAAATGACTCTTTACAACAACAAAAAAACCGTATGTAAGGCTGGACATCTTCTATTTTTATTAACTTTTCTAAATAGGACTTGTCTAGAGCACTCACACTATTTCATCATTTTCTGTATTTTCAAAAACAGAATAAAAGAATTTTAAAACCACAGTATGTTTTAACACTTTATCCGGTATATTGCCGGATCAGTATAGTCCGGTCACAAGACAGAACTGTTACCAATCAGCAGTTTTGCAAAAGTGCAGTTGGTTTGTGTTGCTGTGTTTTCCACCGTCTTTGGTTTTTGTGTTTGGCACTTCAGGACTACCATAGAAATACCCTTTCTTTGCAAAGAGAGCCTCTTCTGAAGCCTCTCACCTTTGATTTGAATATGATGGAAAATTCTCCCCAAAAGAAATTGATTTTTTTTTGCTAGTTATGCTAAAACGTCTCACGTGATTCCATTTGAGAGGTCAGTGTTTAAACTAAATTGTGCCACGTAACTCTGGAGGTTCATGAATTCTTACACAATTGTGTTTATTCATGCTGAGATATCTGCCGGCTCATTAAAAACACCCCTCTGACAGCCAGGGCACAACAGAGAGGAGCACAATCATCCATTGTGCCAGGCTCATTCTGCAAAGCTGGCATCTCCAAATGAAGTGCCGAGCTGCAGTTTGCATGAGAGAGAGAAAGAGAGAGCTGTGTGGCTCTGTGTGAAGCACCAACAGCACACAGGTCAGGGTTATATAAGCCCCAGAGCTCGCAAAATGCAACTTCCATCATCTGTTTTTAACTCCAAAAACTGCAGCAGCTTGTTTTACCAAATGTTGTACATTTCCAGGTTTATAAACATTCACAGAATAGCACAGAGAACACTGTATATTCATCAAGCTCCCTAAATATCTTCATCAAACTTCCAAAATATTAGTAATTCAGATCAGACAATACATGAATGATCACTGGTTATATATGATGAAGATTGTAGTATAGTATGCATAGTAAATTAGCTTAAAAAAGTTAAAAAGAAAAATTCCAACATAGCAGTTGAACTAAACCAAAACATCCCTCTTCTTTAACAGTGAGTCAACAGTTGGATATCTGCCAGAGAATCTGTCATGGTAAACAGGTTTATTGGGGGTAGGTGTTCCTTTCCCACCATTCAGCTGTCCCATCCCTACCAACTTTGTCTTCTTTGATAATAGGCATCTTCAAATTGCAACATTGAACTGGAATCTGGCAAATTCAACATAATGTAACTTCTCTGCACGCAAAACATGCAAGAAAGACTGACCTGATTGCTTTGCTGGATATCTAGAACAAATGCATTAAACAGCAGGTCCTTTGTCCTCTTTCTTTTTCCTTGGAGTCTCACAGGGCGTTTTACTGTTTTCAGTCACAACTCAAAACACTGCGTGCTTGTTGAGACAGGCACAAAGGCCTGTCAGTGGAATGTGAAGGAATGCTTTAAAGAGAAGCAACCTGCTTCCCTCCTAGATAGCGACTTCACACCTGAGCCCTCCTCCACATTCATTGTAATGTGATACAACGCCACATTTGAGGCACAAAGAGTACACTAAAAACTCAACTTACAGTGCAAAGCAACACAAATAAACGACTCCGTTTTACAAATGACTATAGTTCCTTTAAATTAAGCAGCTAATATCCTTCGTTTAATATCCGAGCTAACAAAGCACGCTCTCATGCTAACATCATACAGGTAGAAATATCTTTAGAACAGGTGGAAAGGTACAATAATGTAATATAGTCCAACTACTGTATAAACACTTTTTTCTGTCCCTTTGTAGATAAATCCTTTCTAGTTTGACCTGAAACTCAATCTGTTACTTTAAGGAAGACATATATTATAGCATTAGAAAGGTGACTGTTGCTAGCTAAACATAAATCAGGGAGCAACAGGTAGCTACTGTACCTATACTGTAGCATTAGCTTAGCTGGCTAACTAAACTAGCTCATGCCATTTCAGATTTTAAAAGACAAACAAATTTCGGCATCAACTCACCTTTTTAAAAAATCCTGTTTTCTTAGAGGGAAAGTCTAGCCAAAACTTAAATAAGTGTTTTTCTCCGTATTGGTAAAAAAAAAAGCCTAATTACTTTTGACACTTGTCGCTGCTGTCCATCACAAGCAAAGAGCAGGGCGGAACTAGTTCCAACGAGTACCTTTGGATCCAAATCAGGTCACATAAGCAACTTTGAAATAACGAGGAAAAAAATTATATCGTTTGAAAATATCCCTCGATGTTTGACATTGTGTCTTGGCGAAAAAATGAGTAAGAGTGGTATTTCAAACTTCTTTCTCAACACTTTGTTGTCAAAAAGGTGTTGTTAGTTAACTCGGTAGGAAGATTAAGCACCGACGCGCATGCGTACCTCCTTTAGCATTGTGGCTGCTCGCCCACCTAATGAAAAAGCTCTGGGTATTCGCCACAGGCGAAGAGGCAAACCTCAGGAATCACGTGACCGCTCTAAAACAGGAAATGGTAATACTCGGTTAAAATTGGGTAGAGAGTGGTTTAAACTAGGTTGAATGCGGTTTCTGCTTGACCGCTAAACTCAAAACGAATTTTGGAGCGTAAAAAGGAATATATATATATATATATATATATATATACATTTGTTTCTAAAATAGCTGTAACTTTTTTAACTATTTGCCTTAATTACAAAAATAAAGCAATATAATATTAGGTTTACGAGACTAAAGATAAAACACTTTGACAAGAGGTATCGGGTCTGGCGTGAGGAGCTCAGGAAGCTCAATTCGAGGCAGTGGTAACTGGACTGCTGTGGCAGCTTTACTGAGGCAGCTGGGATTATAACAAGCCAATAACCATAATGACAAGCCGTTTGCCGATACAGCAACAGCAGCCTTTGCAGGCCCAGGTCATCCGGCACCCTCTGGCAGCTGCAGCATTGCATTTATCCGTGTCATTCTGAAATCTTGACAATGTAAAATGTCTTCTGAATAAACATATTATATACGAACGTATTATAAACATATTATGTACGTATAATAGACAATATATAACACAGAGAAGATCTTAAAGCTAAATTCAAGTTAAACACTGCCCCTGAGATGTGAGCCAGTTGTACTAAAGTCTAACAAATACATAGTTCTATTCTAGCATCTTGTTTTTACGTTTACATGTATGCATTTAGCAGATCCTTTTATCCATAGCAACTTACAAAAAGAGGGTTCAACATTCAACTACACCAGTTAAACAATTACCTTACCTTTGGAGCAATATGCTACATGAGGATTTAACCTTAAGGATTTAACATTCAACTATAACATAAATTGCACAAGTAACCATATATTGAGTGCTATATATTATCTGAAAATAAGTGCATTTAGAGGTTTCAGGACAAGAGATACTCTCGGAAGAGTTAACAAGAGTAGTATGCTTTGGTTTACAGTATCAAATGCTGCTGATAGGGCCAGCCGGATGAGAATTGAAGATTTGTCTATCATTTTGGCTTCTTTCAACGATTCTGTTACAGACAGGAACGGCGTTTCTATGGAGTGGCCACTCTTGAAGCCGGATTGGTTACAATTTAGTTTAGTTTAGTTTAGTTTTATTAGGATCCCCATTAGCTGCCAAATAAATGGCCACTAGTCTTCCTGGGGTCCTCACATGAAGAAATTATATTACATTATAAACAGATCATAAAAAATAAAAATAAAAATCACAGTAGGAAATAATAAAAACATAAACAAGAGTAAAACTATACAACATATATACACAGGTCAGTTCATCTTATCATTTGCAGTAGTTCTGAAGACACAATATTTTTTAAGCTTGTTCTGTTCTGAACTCTTCGTGTGGTTATTGGCAGTTGGTTCCAGTAAAATATGGCTCTATAATGGACTGTGGATTTTAGAGAGTTTGTTCTGGGTCGAGGGAGTTTAGAGTCTCCACCTCGTGCCCGCCTTGTTAAGTAATTATGATTTTGTTCAACAAGGACTAAGTGTTCAGCAAAAAATTAGGGCTGTTTTTTAAAGAAAACATTCCATATAAATAAAAGAAGTCTTAATTTAAGTTTATAAGTTACTGTTAACCATGAAAGTTAGTGAATTGAGGAGGTAATGTTAGGCGAGGAATTTTGTGACCAGCTTTGAGACATCTCGTTCAATGAGACAGGAAAGGAAGGAGGGAGACTGGTTGTTAGTTCTCCACTTATGTGGGGGCGAGTAGTGGATTTACCTGGGCTTGCTTGTAGGTGGTAAGGAATGCTCCTGAAGTTAGTGAAGCAATGATCACGTGAGTGACTGCAGTCACAACGGTGGGAGCTATGGCCTAGAGGGTGGTAGGAATAGGATCCAGTGGGCAGGATGTAGGGTGGTTGCCTGTGAGAAGCTTTGACACCTCATCCCCTGTCAGAGGGGTAAATGAGGAAAGGGAAGCCGTAGGTTCAGGATCGCTCAGAGGAAGGACCAGTAAGGAAGGGCGAGCTGGGGTCTGTGTTCATGCGTCAGAGAACCGACCGTTGATGGTCACCAATATTTATTTCAGACATTCTCATTAAGATCTGCTGCTGTGTTTCCACCAAATTTTGGTTGCCTGACAGATGGTCTCATGTTTTGATCATAGAGTATTTACCGACTGCAAGGTTCTAGGTAAAGTGGATGTTAAATAATCCCAGATCATCAGCCTTCCACCACCAAACATGTAGTTGCACATCAGTGTACCAGTGCATGCGTGCGTGAACATGCATAATATGCTATTGGTCTTACATGAATTGTGCTCAGTGATGGGTGCCGAGGGCAACCTTGGAACTGCTGCAATTACTGCTCCCAAACTACGCCAGCTAAATAGCTTCTCCTACAGTAACCAACCAGAGCCTCACTCCCTGAGAGAGTACCAGACCTCGTCAGCCTCAAAGCCCCCACCACCAGAATAAAAAAAGAACAGTGAGACATTGACTCATCAACACAATTGATGGAGCTAATCAGAAGGTACCAGAAAGCATAGGTTTCAGCCAGCTGAAGTGTGGAAGATTAAATAGGATGTACTTTTCATTCTGAGGTCAAAAAATAGTTTGATTGGAGATACATTTGATTTGCCATAGTGAAGAAGCGTGTGGTGCAAAGTATACATAGAATTAAGAAATATTAAAAGATCAAAATTCTGTGTAAATAATGCAATAGCATGTATTCAATTGTAGCCCTTAGAATAGTATACGACGATACGTGCTGTGCAAAGTCAGTTTTAGGATCTGTATGAACACAGTGTGAGAAAATGTTCAAGGCATCCTGTGGCCTGTAACTTCTGTTAGGGAGATCGATATACATGGAAGAGCAGCCACAGTCTTTTTAAAATACTAAAATAGTGAATTTTTCAAATAATGCTTCAGTTATTAAATTATTGTAACAGATTAGACAGGCAATATGGAAATACTTTAAGTTATTGTGAAATACTGATGGTGGAATGATTTTTTAGTCACAATTTTCAACAAAGGAAATGTAAAATATTTGCTTGAGAATGGCTTTATAAGGGATATACACAGTGTTTGATTTAATCTACACTTAAATTTGACAGTTTTTACAAAAAGATGGAACTTTAGACCGGAGAACCCAAGATTAACTGGGTGATTTGAAAATCCAACAGCATTATCTGGTCAATTTGCTCCCTCTTTAAAAGCTTAGATTATTTTATTAATTTTACAAGTAATTTGAAGATTTTTACATGCAATATGTAAATGTCAACTGTTGCCAAACTGTATATTTCTTCTGAATTTATCATATGTAAGTTGCATCTTCTCCCACAAAAACTGTCAGTCCTTTTTCAGACCTTCCAACAGTTTGGCTGGCTAGAGCCCAGATCAGTTTCTGATAAAACATATAAAAAAGTATCATTAAGTGGAGAATTGGACAAAAGCAACGACGGTTTGCAAGATTAATCTGAAAACAGGAATATTACAGGCTATTTTGTGTTTTCAAACAATTGATAAGTTTAATAAAGATTTTGATGTTACTCACTGTTGAAACAGGCCAGGATGAAAATGCATGACCTTCAGGTATATGTTGGCTGATATTGTGTTTTTCTGTTTCAATGTGATGATGTACATTAACTGTGCATATATATTTGATCCGCTATTGCTCTGAGAGAACTCACGCAGACACAGGGAAAACATGCAAACTCCACACAGAAAGGGCCTGGTTCACCCGGGGACTGGAGCCCAGAACACTCTTGCTGTGAGGTGATAGTGCTAACAAGCACACCACCGTGCCATCTGGTTCAATTAACATTTTATTTTATTTGTTTTATTATCTCAAACTGAATGTACTAAAACAGAGAGAAAGTGTAAACTTGGTATGAATTGTCCATTTCATGAATAGAAGGCTGAAATCGTTCTTTAAAAAGATGTAGATTATCATTTAAAAGCAAATAACTTATAACATGTTGGATTCGTACTGAAAAAAGTTTCCTTTTCAGGCATGGTACATATCAAATAATGTAAAATGAACCAGTCTGTTCTAAGGAGCTAAAAAAAAACCTATGTTGCGAATATTGAGAAACCAGTGATCAATTTAATCAATTTAACTTTAATTCACAGCACATTCCCTCTGTAATTTCTTTTTTAGATATTCATAATGGTTACTAGTTAAAATGATATCCATCCAAGACAGAATTTTAGTTAAAAAAGCCCTTGTAACATTCAGATTCTTAAAAATTGCTAGAACATTATACTGGTAAGAACTAAGATTCTAGCAATCTTTGAGAAGTTGAAGGTGAATATTTGTGTATTAGTTAGACTAGATATGTATTCATGGTATCCTTTATTAATTGCGAAACGGGGTAGTGAACATCTGAGTTTCTCCTGGTATGAACTGCATTTTAGATATCTCATTTTAGATTAGAGTAGTGCCATTTTAGGTAGAAATCTCTAATCTAATGGCAAGTTATTACCTGGACAACTTAATTAAAGGTGTCTAAGAAAATTATAACCAGTCGAGAAAAAAATGTATGTGAAAACTGCTTGACTATTTACTTTTTTCTGTTCTGCGGAAAGTGAAAAAACTGTGAACTCTTCTGGCCATTTGTGGAACTGCAGCATTTTTAAGTGGCACAAAAGTACAGTAGAGCACACATCAGTGACACAGTCTGCCACCTGCTGGGCTTTTAAGGCCCTTGCTATACAAAGATGCTGAAACATTTTAGAACAAACACCCAGAAATGATAAAATATCATCTCAAAACAGAAATGAGTTGGGCATGTTTCACTTCACAGCACTTTCTAAACAATTTTTGAATAAAACTAAACAGGAAACTAGCTTGTTTTTCCCTAAATCCTTTCCCCAATCCTCTGATGTTTGCAATAATCCAACTCCACGGCATTAATGCCAAACCTGATAGTGAAGTAGTGAAATTCATGTAACTGATAAAATTCATATGCCC